GTGTAGTTTGTTACTTTTGTAAATAGTTTGATACTTTATTATTAGTAATTAGTCGACTAGTATAGGTACACGTCTCCATTGAAGAGCACATAACATAACCTGTGAAATGGACCTCGTGTTTTAAATAAAGATGTCAGTCAATCAATCAATCAATCAAATGATACGTCGGACAGATCAGAAAGATATTGGAAAATTTACGAAAGTACGTCGTCTTTAATTCTTCGATCAGATAATGTGTCTTTCCACACGCCGTCATTCCGACGATGATCATATTAAACGGTTTCATTTAATAAAATGGGAGGATGTCTCTCTCCGAAATCCGATAATACTATCAGACGCAACAAGAATCATAAAAGACGAAAAATGTTCAGTTTGGGATTCGGGTTCGATCGCGGCGATGCGACGACGAGTATTCATACACAGATCGGATATGTCAGTACGACGGTTAAAAATTACGATGGAATAAATGATAAAACTATTCCTGTGAAGAATATTGTTATGGATGAGTCTGATCAGTTGTCTCCTGATCCCGATCACGTTCGAAGTCTTGTTGGTGATAATAATCCTGAATAAATTTTAATAAAAATTATTAAAATTCTTTTTACGCGGACGGTGTGTGAACGGGTAATTCATCCTCTTTTTTCTTCTTACGACACATCCTCACCAATTTTACCGTCACGAACATCAGAATGGATAATGCAGACGAACTACAGATCGCACACGTCGCGTACAAGACGTTGGCTTCTTCTTCCGTCAATGCTACGTTCGGAATGATCGTCGAATTCGTACGAGTTGCCACCGCCGCTAATTTCATGGCGGAATGAATAACTGTCGTTGCAGGATTCATATTCTTTTTTTATTTAATGTAAAAAATAAAAAAAGATCTTTTATTTCTCTTCCAGTTTAAGTCGTTCTGTCAAACCGAGAATGTCTTCGATCAGCATCCGCATTTCAAAAATAAGAAGGGCGTAAAGCGAATCATCATCCATCTCACTACGTCGAATCAGCTCTTCATATTCCTTTTCCCTCGATCGTATATATTCCATAAACGATGTCGCGTTCAAATTATTCCCGAGACGATAACCGGCTCTCACTGCGTCGGTAAGAAATAACCGAATGTCTTTTTGAGTCTCTATTACATTCATTTATTATTTTTTTTTAAAAAAAAAATTTTCTAACCCGGGTAGGTTAGGAAAAAAAATAAATCTGTAAGTTATTACAGAATGTTCCGAATATGTTTTTTATTCCTCCGATACTATACTATCAGAGGTTTCATCGGACGGAAGGTCCGATCTGATCCAGACTTCGTGAAGTTTCATCTGAACGGATGTTACGTCGTCCGCCGCGTAGACGCTTTCGATCCTTACGACCGCATCCGATCGAAACCATAAGTCCCGGTATTCGCGATGACCGATCGGCTCACCGTTTTCATCGAAAAAGACAGTTTCATCTTCGAGTTTGACGTAAAGGACGGGTGACTTCCCGTTTTTGGAAAGACAAGTCATTGCATTCCCATCTGAATTTCTAATATCGGTATAACACCTTTCACCGATCGTGTCGAAGATGGAAACAAATTCTTCGTCGAGTGAAATGGGAAGCGTAAATTCCATCTTCCTGTATTTCGCACTCTTTTTTACGCCGAACGATAAACAATTGGGAATACGCAGTAATAATGTCTTTCCTTCGCGGATAAGAGTCTGGTCTTTTCCGCATCGAATCTGGAATACCTAATAGTATTTCCGAATCCGAACGACTCTTCCGAAAAGTTCTTGTAGTCGGTAATCCGAAGTCCGTCGTGGGTTTTCTGGTCTGTCCTATCCATTTCTTACTATATTTTCAATTCCTATAAGGTGTTGAGAAAAATGAATAGTGATTCCAGAAAACCCAAGCGTCGGTCGGGAGAAAGGAACCGAGTGTTCCCCTATTTCGTGTCGGGATTTCTATAAAGTGTTTCGTAATCCTTCCAGATCCTCTTTCGACGGGATTTAACGCACGCGTCACCGCCCACTTGAAAATTTCATCACCACTTTTTTGCATGGTGATCAACGCCCGCTTGCCGGACACAGATTTTGGTAAAGTCATATTTTCTTATCGAAAATGTTTTCCATAAGAAGTTGACAGTTACGGAACAGTGGGCGTGCCACGACTTGCCCGACGGGTTTGAGGGTTCTGTTGCAGACTCTTTGACGTCCTCGGGAAAATAATGTTCTCAATGGGCTGAAGGGGCTGAAGACACTATATTTTGTATAACATGAAGTATTGCGTTCGACGCCCCGGGTTGACACTACTACACGGGTAAAAATTGATCAGGTTGTTCGGCGTTGTTCAAACAGGAGTGAACAATGTTGTGCTGCACCTCGTGAACAATATTGTTAACAAGTTGTTCAACCATCAGTACTGTTGCAAGTTGTTAACATGATTGTCAACAAGTTGCAACAATGTTGATGGTTCAACAACTTGTTAACAATATTGTTCATGGGGTGCAGCACAACATTGTTCGCTCCTGTTTTGAACAACTTGCATCAACATGATGATTTTT